AAAAAATGTTGAGAAGCCCAAATTGCCCAAACTAGTTTGGGCTTTGAGAAAACAGTTTGGACCAGAAACCTTAATTGAATCATATTAATCATGTTAATAAGAGTGGGTGGTTTCATCCCTGGTTGGAATATGAAATAGAGGAAATGATTAATCCTATAGATTATGAACTCGATATACTTTTTGATGAGACAGAGATTTGAAGTTCATTGTAGAATCAAAAATTTTTAGATTCAAATAGGTAATAAATTCTCAGCTACTCAATCCACATATAATCCTGGTTACTATCAAAAAATACTATTAAAAAATGGTTCTTACTTTGATGCATCACCATATCAAATTTTTTCATGCTTTTATTCTCTGTATACAAAGCTATTTACTTGACACTAAACCTTCATTAGAATTCACATTTAAAATTGTCTGAGTTGACAAGATTATATTAGCTAATTATAGAAGAAGTTTCTCAAGGAATATACATACCTGTATATGGCCCTCCAGAAATAAAACAAGTTAATGTTAAAAAAGGAGACATTTGTAAGGTAATACAAAGTGATTATAGTGATCATGTAACAATTTTTGGACCAAAAGGCTTTGATTTTATTTTATTTTGTGACAATGATGGCCAGAGCAAAGGCCTACCTGTAAATCCACTAGCAACTCGTTTGATAAGTCAATGAATAGGGCAGGATGATGTACTGATTCCAGAATCTGCTTTATCATTAAATGATTATAGAAATTAACTCTTGATGATTTCTGCTTTTTGTTAAAAGAACCAAGCCTATCTATTGTTTCTATACTATTGCCCATGCTATAAGTTTTCATCTCTAAACTATCTGCACTAACACATTCTCAGCAAAGTTGGTATGGCTAATATCAACTATAATCCAGTTTCATTTGTTATCGATACTCTGAATATGGCAATTATACCTATATGAAACAACAATATTAACCTTAACAAAAACCCACTAAAAGTTTATGTTGTGATGCTAAGAAATTTCTTGGGATAGTCATTGGTTTGCAAAAAATAAAATTTGCTGATCTGTCACGTGAAAAATATGTTGTGCCTTAAAAAGATATTTATGGGTAAACAGAGTTATTTATGGAAATTTTTAAACAAAAAAATGTACTTTGAAGAAAACAAAACCTGGTCGCTGATTGCTTTTTTAAGATACAGATGAGATGCATATAATTTCACAAAAGATAAACTTACTGAACATAGAAACTATAGGAAAGCACTTGCATCAGGAATTTTTTTCCGTGTAAAATCCACCAAGAAATCCACATAGAACCATCATGGAAATCTAAGTAGTACCAATATTTTCCAAATACCCTGTGCCGAAAGATGTGGA